TTATCGACCAAAATAGTTTTATTGATACTTTTAGTAATAATAATAATAATAATAAATATATATATAATATAATATTATTACTTTTATAATAAATTTATAATAAAATAAGATTCATTAAAACATTCATATTATATACATTATTTAATTGATCGATAACTTGAATTTACATCAATCAAAGTAAAATATTTTATATATTACACTACATAGATGGATAGACTAAAAAATTTGGATAATCAACATTTATTAAAAGAATAAATTATTTTTATATATAACACAGTTGTTACTATGTACAATTAATAAAATCACAAGTGCGTTCTTTAAATAAAATAAATAAATGAAATCTGAATAAATTCTTTTATATCTTTTTTTAATTTATACTTTAATCTACACTTTTAAGTGTAATATGCTTTAATTATGTATAATAAAGGCATTTATTAAAAGTCCAATCTAAATAAGTTTGACCTAATTCATTCTAGTCCATCCATTGGCACAACGAATCTATCTACAATCTACAATCTACAACTATGATCTATAAATCCGTTACCTTAAAATTAAATAAAAGTTTATCTCACTCACCGACACCGATGCACGACAGTGAAGTAGTTAATGTTCAAGCTTGTTGATGTTCAACGTTGTCTGTAACATATAAATATAACATTTAAATTATAGCCATAACGTTCAAATTAATTACTATTTTACAAAATTATTATTAGACGCGTCGAATTTATATTTGAAGCATAACAATAATAAATTATATATAAATATAAAGTAAGTTTTATAAATTTAAAAGAAAAACCTTTTTTTAAATAGAATTTATATAAATATTTATGTAATTTCTTAAAAATTTATATAATATCTCTAAATTTGTTTTAATTATTCAAATAAATGAACTGAATTAATGTGATTTATAATAATTAATATACAAATAATGATATATATATTTACCTTAGAGTTGTTCCGTCAGTGCCTGATGCCTCTCCTAGGCCTCCTCCTCCTCTCAGGTTGAGGGCCGTTCACTAATACGCGCGATACTTTTAACGACACTCCCACACTTGTACGCGCAATACTTTTAACGACACTCCCGCACTCGTACGCACGATACTTTTAACGGCACTCCCGAATTTCACGTTTCTGTAACATACAAATAAAAAATCTAAATTATAGTTCAAATTAACCATTATTTCAAAAAAATTATTATTGGACATGCCGAACTTTATATTTGATGCATAATAATATTAATATTAATATTAATATTATAGTTTAAACTACATACATATAAATATTAACTGGCGTTTATATATATATAAACTATTAAAATTTTATAATTTATAATTTATAGTATTTATATTTATAATTTATTTGTAACTTTTTTCGGAGTATCTATATATGACTTTTATACCATAAAAATTAGAAATTAACTTGCTAAATATTCTTTATATATAAGTCAACGAGCATGCTAATATCGTCTACGAGCTGTCAATGCTTATTCCGAAAATTCAGAGCGGAAGTATAAATTTTATTTCTCAAATAATTTTCTCGACGTGGACTCGATGGAAGATCCTTTCATATGAAAATCTCGCAGCTGTCAAATCGTCGTAAAAATTCATGTTGCCAGAATGAACGGCGGCGTTAAAAACAACCCAATATTTTCAATGTGTCGCTTGTGTGGGTCGCGCGTTTGTCCACGCGATTCTCTATATCCACAGGGAGCTTCGAGCTCGCGCGAACGAGCGAACGAGCGAGCGAGCGAGTATGCGGAATAAAAGCTAAAACGATAGAATGCTCGTCGTTGCCGTGTCGACTACTGCAAAAGCAGCATAAAAGTTCCGTCCGGCGGGACTTAAAAAAGCTCTATTCTAAATTTTCGAAATAAAACGCGACAGTAAACGCGCCACGCGCAAGGATTCCGGATATATTTTAACATCTGTTTGCAATGAAATTCTTTGCATTTCCGTGAAAAAAATGCCACTTAAACTTTTGCGTCGGTCTACTTACACCATTTCACCGTGAATAAATTATCTTCAACTCTTTTGCTAGAAGAGAACAATTTAACGGCAGAGAGAATACATGATAAAAATGAAGATACAAAAAATTCGAGCACATAGAACAAGAAATGAACTATGACGCGATTTAAAAATGATAAGATCATATCTTGTGTTTTTATGGAAAAAAATTATCGCGAAACCAGATTTCGCAAATTAATAGAAGCTGTAATGTACATATCAGAAGAATAAAAAGAAATGATTATTCCACCCGATATTGTTCTATGTTCTTTTTCGCGAAAACTTTCCGTGGTGTTCCCTTTGATCGATTAATCGTCAGTGAGCGTATTTTGGGTCGTTTACGTTCTACGTTGGGCGGGGAGGAAAGCACCACTCGACATTTCGGCCCGATAAATGGGGAGACCGGACACAGGGAAAATACCATCTCAATTTGATTCGATTAAACAGGAAATAGGCAGCGTGTATTTCCAATCTACACGGTATATATTTGCAATTGATTAATCGCCCGGCCGCGAAGCCAAATTGTCTAAACGCCGGAATCTATTTTTCCAACGAGCGTGCGCGAATCGCCGATTACCGGACCCACTATCCAAACGTTGAAAATACCACCGAAACGCATATAAAACGTTTACTTTAGAATCTAATTACCCTATAATAATGTAATTGAAATTTTTGCGATTGATTGAGCAGGTCATACTTAATATATACATCAGCATCGCCCTGATATCTGACGGTAACGGATTGACAGAGCATGTATACAGTTCAAGTTTTTCGCCAAGTTGATTCGCCTTACAATGTAATACGCGCGTTTTATGACGAATAAATAAGGATAGTATGTATAAAGAATCTCTTAAATGTATAAAAAGTTGTGAAATAGTAACCCGTAAGCTCACGCAATATTTCGCTTTGCGCGACATTCAGGCTACGTTAACTGAAGGTTCTTTAAAAAAGCTAAAAGAGAGGAGAGAGACACTTTTTTACGACTTATAAGAAATAAAGAATGAAAGATAGTAAAACAAATGTAAAAATATTTTCAAAGGAAACAATTGTACGACAAGAAGAAATAAGAATATAAAAACAAAAATAATATTTATTGTGCTTCTAATAAAAATTTTAAAATCAAAAGTATTGTGCTATATAAGATAATATATGAAGAGTGCGCAACATCGTACATTACATGTCGCACATTTTACACACGGATATATATTTTAATTGTCAAAATGTACTACTAATCTACATTTGCATTAATTTACTCTTATAATCTCATTCAATTTTTTACTTCATAATTCTCAATGTTTTTAATGATTTACATTATTCTACCTTATTTGCATGTCTTCTTATATTTGATTTGTGTCTGTTTGATAAATATTCACTAAGCTGAGACAAATGTCGTTGTAGGGGATGAGATTAAATAGCCGTAGGCCTCCTTTCTTTGGCTAGAATCGCACACATGTGTATATGTGCATACATAAACATATATGTATATGCGACGAAAATATACTACATTGCATGTGCACGTAGGATAAAGTCATATCGTAATCTAGCGTTGCCATAATCTTGAATAAATATTTGCCCTGTATTTAGCGTAAAGCGACCCTCTCTACGCAACCGTAACGTTATAACGGCAGGGAATTTTTAAGATATATGCAAAGTACATGTAAGTTTATCTCGCTGCCATATCGCGAAGGATAAGTTATAAATTTCGCTAAACGGAAAATTTAACATCGCTTTAATATTTTCGACGATACACACCCAGGCTTCGTATCTGTTTTTTGCATTTATTTTACCGAACGTATGAATAACATGTATTTTTTGTAATATATTATTGGCGCAATGACGAAACATTTGCTATAGAAATATTACAAGCTATTGATTAACGTTAATTATATCGTTTAATGTAAAAAAAAAAAAACATATTTTCCCAAATTCCGTTATATAAGATTATATTAATTGGGAAAGAGGAAATATTGCATATATATTACATTTATATTGCGATTTATTACATTTGACAAATAAAACTTTGCTTCGACAAATAAATAACATTTTATACTACCGATAATTGCATTTAAACAGCCATTTGATGGAAACCTTTTAATTACAATTCCAATAATACTAGCGATCTAGTTCAACGACACAATTGCAGTTTTATAATTCAAATAATTGCAAAGAAAAAATTATTTTATTTTATTTTTCGTCGCATTTGAAAAATATACGATAAATGCTAATAACAAAGTATACTTATTCGCATATAATTATATATATAATATATTAATTATACTTTCTCTTTCATTCAGTATGCAATTATGTATTGCTTATTAATGCATTAATAAATACGTCTAGTATAATCTCTATAATAGATAAACTGGTCAATCCAATATTATCAATTGGTGATACATCGCGTTTAAACGACAAATTGGTCACTGCGTAATTAAATCACTCATTGGATTACAAAACGTTTCGTCAGCGCTGACAATGCCGGCGGTATATCGAATTTGCGAAATGGGTTAAGTGCACGAGCGAGCCGTTTCATTCGCCTGATATAAAAACAATTAAATCGCCCTCGTCGCCGCGTGTACACGTATTTCGAGGGAAAAATTGATATTCCGAAACATCTATCCACTTCGCGATGGACGGCGCGGCGGCCTGACGATGAAACCCGAGATTTCAATGTTCAATCAAACTGCAAATGTATCCGACTCAAAATTTCGTTAAGCCTCGACATGTATCGTCAGTCCTGTTACCGACGTTATACAGTTCGGATTAAAAAATTGTTACACTGGGAGGCGCGGGATGAATCAATTCGCGATACGAATTGGACGTAAAGATTTCTTTTATCTTTCGTTTGTCGCGTTACATCGATCGATTCGAACGCGCATTACATATGTATGTATGCGCATACAAATTCATGTGTAATTGTATCTTCATACGTCAATCGCGCATAATTCATCGACGTCTTGATCTTGGAAACATAAAATAATCGAACAAGCAATTTACATCATGGACGAAGAAGTATACGAAGAAAATACGGAGGAAATATCGAAAGATGAAAAGTTTCAAGAGAACGATACCGAGCAGAAATACAGATATGATGATGATTTTTCGAAGCGGAACAATTTTTTGACTCGGAAAAACAAGAACCTTACGAGGAGAGAAAATGGGAAGAAATAGAAGAGATATTGCGTAGGTTATAATTCTTGAGCTAATCTGACACGTGACCCTAACGATAATTTTAATGAATATATATTTTATAATATATCTGTGCCATTAATGATATCTCTCTTAGAATCATCGGATTATATGTCAATTTATTTATTTTCGATTATTGCTTTTTCCGATATTTATAATAAATTAAATACAAAAAATAAAAAACTGCTGCTTTTTTAATTTGTTTATGTATAATATTAACATATTATACATGCTCTATTTATTTAAAAACATATATTCTTTAATGAAAATATGTACGCTGTTGAAAGTATACAACACGCTGCATTGCCAAGAAGAATGTCGATAATGTCGAATATACCAATATTGAAACTTTGTAACGAATGGGTTAAAATTATGTACCGAACGAAGATTGATGATGCGTATCGGATACGCGTGTCGAGTGGAAGTACGTACTGTGTTAACAATGAAACGTATAAACTTAGTCGACCATAAATACGTTCAAATATGAATGATGCGATTTAAAGCAGCGAGTTTGGATAATAAAAGAGATTATTGATTTTGGTTTATTTAAATGTATATATGAATCATGCGAATTCGATAAATATGTCGGTTGTTGCATTTAAATAACTCTTTAAAATATAATGACTAACTATCTTTATTAGTCTCATCAATTCCCGTTATTTTAAACATCAGCAATCAAAAAGCTTTTAATATTTTAAATAAATTAACAATGATATAACAACATTGTTAATTTATTTAATGTAAATAGAGAACACGCGTGCGTGTTCAAATTCAAAATTGTAATATATTGATGTGTATATATGTTTAATTACTCCTTATCTTATAAAAAATTGAATTACTTTATACATTTAATGATCCTCTAATTGTATATAAAAGCCATGCAAAATTGGGAGAAGGAGGCAAAAAAGAAAATTAATATAGAAATGGATGACCCGATGAGTAGACGAAGAACTATTTACGATCTTGCTACGTCTGGACCATCAGTAAACGACATTTGGAAATTTGACACAGCACAGATAGCTGCAGAACCAAAGAAGGAAATTCGATATTCCGTGTCGATGGTGAATATTATTATCTTAAAAGCAGTTTATTCTATTTTCGAAATATATTACCTTTAATTGAATTGTTATCTACAAACGTAAAATTTCATGAAGAATTAATAAAAAGTTTATTTACTAATTCTAGATATATCTCTAATATAATAAAACTTTTATTATATTTATATCGAGCGTTCAGACTTTTTTCACATCTCTTTGTAATTTCTATAAAAAAACAAGTCTTTAAAAAGAAAATGAAAAATATCATTATTAAATTACATTTGTAATTTTATGTCAGGGAATGTCGGGAATAGCGAGAATCGATTTGTCGCCGCTGACGCAGAAGATCGTCGGCTGTGTCATCGGCGAAAACGTCACCACAGAATATCCATGGGTATACGTTAGGAAGGATGTCATTGAGGATAATATAGATCTGCATTCCGAGAGCAGCGACTTCCTACCGGTAAAAGACGAGATTGAAGCATTTCCTGACGAGCAAATTCTCATCGGCTACGCACCATCTCTTTCTGAAGAGGGTCAATTCTACATTATTCTCACCAAAGAAAGTAGAGATGCAATAGTGAAGTCTATACAAACTCAAAGAGAGGATCATGAGAATCGCGTAAGATACGCAATCTACAAACCCCTCGGTCGATGGCACGATTTAGGAAGCGGTGCCGAGGTCGACGCTTATGTCGTTAAAAATACGAGGCCGCTATTTGAGATCGAGGTTTGCATAACATTAAAAAAATTATAGTTTGCTTTAAAAAATCATAAAATTCTAATTCTTGAATATCAAGTACAGTCCCGATTTTTGTAACATTAAAGAGCCGTAATCTGATTACAATCTGCTATTTCCAAATAAAAAATTAATCTAAAACATTTTCAATTACATTTTTATAAAGCTAATTGATAAATATTTTAACAAATAATTAAAGGATTAAATAAAGCAATAATGCCTAAAATTAGGCATTACTGCATTATTTAATTCATTAATTAGTATTTTAAGAACTTGAAAAAATTATTTTTAAGATTATGAAAAAAATTAACAGGTACATGCTTGGATTAATTTTTGTCAAATGTTCAAAAACAGGATTGAAAAAAATACTATTGTACAATTATAAAATAATATTATTAAATTAAAAATGAATAAAAATGGAAGTATAATTTTTAAATGCTAAGTTATCGAATATATGTATGTTGGAGCAAACTACAAAAATGTCACAAGATCTTAACGAATATCTTTACGCTAACGTCGACTTGCGACTTTTCACTTTACTTTTCGCTCGAACTTTCGCGATTTGCATATCTTCTACCGAATTCAAATTCGCATCATGTAACATACGGAGAATTTTTGAAAATTTCTATTACCTTCCGACAGCACGCAACACAACACACCCTAACTAATGCGTGACGCGTGTGTGCGAAACATGGGTATTGATAGCTCGTGTAATATGTTAACTCCAAGCCACGGTATTAAAGCGATTATCGTAAATTTCTACTAACCCGGCCTATAAATACTGCTATGGTCGACAATAATAGCAGTAAATTCATAAATTGTAATAAATTATTTATTAATCATTTTATCTTGTTTTCGATCGAGTGCAAGAAGTAGTTCATAAATTCCGCGATACTAGCATTATTTATTTGATCATACTTGCGAGATGTTCGTAAATCGTACGATAACGATACCTCTTTGTTATTTAATTATTATTAGGTGTCGTCTACAGCCGATTTGCTGAATATGCCGATAAATATGACGGACAGGAAAGCGGATGATCAGAGAGATGGATATATCGAGTTACTGCCGTACCAGCAAGAATTTGAAAATATATGGCGTAAATTGGTAAGCAGGCCCACACAAGTGATGCCAATTGTACAGCACAACGAAGCACAAACGACGCCATCGATACCTGTCAATTCCTGGTATCAATATCTGTATGAATACGAGACAGTCGATTTGTCTACTTATCCGGAGGACAAGATAGAGTCCTTGAAAGATTTTCTGGAACGTTATACCGACGATATGTGCGACCAAGTAATATATTATAAATAATATTTCTCGATTTTTTATAAGATTTTAAATATAATGCGAAACTTTATTGCATAAAACGTAATTTAATTAAGAGATAAGTTAATAAAAATTAAAATATTTAAAATTTGTTTAAAGTTGGAGTTTCTAATGCATTGAAAAAAAAGTTATCAACTTGACTAAATCGTTCAACTAAATACTATTTTATTAACTGAACATAGAAATATTTAAATTAAATACAACATATTAAATCTAACATAACATGTGTGTGTATTTGATTTAAATACTTCTATATAAGTTCAATTTAAAAATAGTATTTATTTGATCAATTTAGTCAAGTTAATAACTTTTTTTCAATGTGAAATTAGCAATTAATTACATTTCTGATATGTCTATATATATTTTGCCAATTTCAGATTTTAATAAATTCCACTTGGGATATATATACAAACGATCATGCAAATCTGGTACGCAATGAGAAAGATACACAGGCACCAGTACCGATAGGTTACGCGGAACATCAGAGCTATTATGATGGAAAAATCATTGCGGACAAAGTTATCAATGATTTCTGCTGGCATCCGTTTTGGACCGGAACAGCGATAGCTACTTACACGCAACATTCCAAGGGCGAATATCTGATCGGACCAAAAACTTATGATGAGGTTTATTAATCGTCGTATATTTTTTCTTGAATTTATGTGCGCCTATATAATTGCTTCTAGAATTGCTCTACATTGACTTAATTTTAAAAAAAATATTGTGTGTATGTGCTAATGCAAAATGTATTTTTTTTAATTCATACACTGAGAAAAAAATTGTTAATTTAATTAAATCGTTCAACTAATTAGTTTTGTTAATTGAATATATAGAAGTATTTAAATTAAATACAATATATTAAATCTAATATAACATATTTTAATTTAAATACTTATATATATTCAGTTAACGAAATAATAATTAGTTGAACAATTTAGTCAAGTTAACTTTTTTCAGTGTATAAACGCACACGCAGCATAATATATAAATATTGTATAATTTATTTAACATAGTATTTTTTTCCAGGTATTCCTGGCTTGCGAGGGCAATAATCGAATATTAATATGGTCGTTCACTGACTGTTTATCGCCTAAATTGATCCTTGAATGTACGCGAGAAGTAACGTCTATTGCTGTCTGCCCTCTCGATGGCAGTATTATCGTAGGCGGTTGTAAAAACGGCCAGGTAAATTAAATCAAGTACACAAAATATATTTAAAAAATTTTTCAAATTCTTCTCTCTCAAGATATTCTATTTTTTACTATAGATATTTTTTTCTTTTCTTATCTGAAATAGACCGAGAATAAAAATTTTCTCATAAACAGTACATAATAACACATGCCGTCATATAAATGTCATTAGTTATTATATAAATATTTATATAAATTATTATATAAATTTTAATTTATATATTAAAAACTTATAAAGAAAAAATTTATTAAAAATATTAATTTTATTTGATAGAAGAGAATAATTTTGTTACAAATTATATTTAAATATACTAAAAAAGAATTATTTAAATAACCTAAATTGTTTCACTAAAATAATAATATTTGTTAGAGTTATATACCTCATTTTAGTAGTAAATTTATATTTTTATGAAGAAATTTATTTAACAAAATATTTCTACAAAATAGATTTTGCTGTTATATCAAATAATTTAATTATGAAATCAAGGTTTATTGGTTTTATCAAATGTGTTTTACTACGTAGATATACTTATTGTTAAACATACATATATGCAATGATGATAAAAAAATATTTTCTATTACAAATAATAAAATATTTTTTCCATATATGTTTGATAATAAAATTTCAAAAAAACAAAAAAATACAGATATACATATACATATTTATAAATATTGTTTAATAATACAATAATAGAACTAACAGGTATAGAGAGAGAAGAATTTGAGAAGTAATATTTGATAGCAATTAGCGTGAATAAACACTTACCAATATATGTAGACGTGCAACAATCCCTTGTCTTGATTAATCTCTTATCGCTATGGTCCCTCAATTCGTTCGCGTTCGCTTCACGAGAGACGCATATTCGTAAACAAAGTCCTTCGACGGCCTGCAATCAGATCGACGATCAAGTGAATATCGAAAAACGCATCGCGCAATCGCGCCACTCGACTCGCGTAATATGCCACCATTTTTATCAACATAAAAAAGAACCCCGAGTATTCGTGGCGGACGCGAATGACGCAAATATAGTAGTAAGCATGCATATCACCTGTCCTTGTTAATTCGTCGTGGCTGTCTCGCTGCTTCTCCTGTCACGATGTCTCTGGTTACTTCGGATATTAGATGCACTCGGAGACTCTCACTCGAGCGAACACTGCGTATCGGAAGACGAAGCGCGAAGCAACGAACGCATCGATTATGAATATTGTAATACACGTTAATCACGCGGCGTGCGCGCCGCAATTAATATGTATGTCGATCGCCCGTCACTCGTTTCGACACTACCGACATTTATTTGCGTACAATATGCGCTCGGAATAAGTAAAAACCATGCAGAAACTCTCCGCGAGCGTTCACTGTGCTTCACGCTCGCGACATCATACAACGTGAAGTGAGCGATTTCAAACTTCAATCACGTGACGCGTACGTCACGCGTCACGTGACGCGTTCATCTAGGCGCGTTCGCGCGAAAATATCTCTAGCGCTGCGAAATATTTAACCAAGAATCTAGTATAGTTTCTTTAAAAATCACAACCAAGTCGTTTGACAATTTTACGGTTTGCGGTTAAACTTAGAATTATTGCAATGACTTTTCTTTTTTTCAATTAACTAATATTAAAAATTAATATTAAAAAAATAAAACTAACCTGAGGAAAAATAATACTAATATTAGAAAAAATGTATTTTTGGCAAGTTCTAAGGTATTAAAAGTATTAATATGAAACTGAGAATTAGCGCGCGCTTTCGTTATTCAAGTTTATTAAAATATGTAGATTGTCTAATAATATATTGAATCAAAATTTATTGGTTTATAGTATATCGAATTTCGTGTCACGCTCGATATTCGCTTTTGACAAACTATAAAATTCACCGCAAGCGCGTGTGTTATAAAGAGAGGTCGCAAATGATAAAACGATGAAATAATGGAACATACACATATACATATAGAACAACGAAATGCATGTAAAACGATAAATATCAATCGATACCATAGAGCAATATATACATAGAGATGTCATCTATACACTTTTCCTTGTTCTAATGTTCGTTAATAGAAAGAGAGAAAGAAAGAAAGAAGACTATTTTCTATTTCTTATATTATAGCATCTCTAGGTATATAAGTCTCTAATATAAGAGTAAATATCGATCGATAAATATCGATTGGACAAATATCGATAGGCATGAATTAAAATAAACTCACGCATTTTTGTTTCTACGAATGTATATAACATATGATTATCGTCTGGGAGAGGTATAAGAACGACGAGAATGCGAAGCGGCGCGGCAATTTGTTACACGAAATGAGCAACGATTTCGAAATTCTGTCAGGTAGGTAAGCCGTTTAACTTCGCAAATCGCGCGGCAAAGTTCTTTAGAGAAATGCAACGTCTTATTAAAAATCTTCATTTAAGATATTAATAGAACTACTAACCTCGTTGAAATAATTTTAAGAAAAGATAACAGAGCGGCGCAAAGTCACATGATTATCACATAACCCACGTTTATTGTTGCCACTTAAAAAAATTATTAATTGCTTTTATTAGAGATATTAATTTGTATATTTAACATTGCATTATATGAATATATATAAATCTAAAAAGTGCGATAAAGAAAGACAGCATTAAAATCTATTTGTATTGTTATAGTAGATCGCCATTTGGCACATTCCTGGCAAAATGGAGCGAGTGGAGTCGGTGATAGCGCAAACGGGCGCTCAAACAAAGTACAACATCGCGATAAGGAGCCTGATGACGTGGATGCACGAGATAACGGTAACGTCGCTGATCGGCCCAGTGGCGATGTCCTCGCTCAAGTACAGCCAGAAGGCGGGCATCACCCAGGTAATCTGGATGCCCTCGTATCACAAGATCGATAAAAACGGCCGAATTTCGTCCTTGCCGAATAACGCGTCCTTGAACGATCTGAGTTGTCAGTTCGTAACTGCCAGCGAGGATGGCACGATCGCCTTCTGGGATCTTAAGTAAGTGCAATCCCAACCAATCAAGGGTTTAATCAAATAGTTAGTTCATAAAATGATTTGTTATTTAATACACTGAGAGAAAAAATGTTGTTAGCTTGAACAAAGTCGTTCAACTAATTATTATTTTGTTAATTGAACATATATAAAATTTAAGTCAAAACACGTTGTATTAAAATCAATATGTCGTATTTAATTTAAATACTTTTATATGTTCAATTAATGAAATAGTAATTAATTTATCTTAAAATATAATGCATTTTTTCTTAAATTGTTACTAAATCTAAAACTATTAATAGAAAAAAATTTTTGGAGAGTCAGATATAGAGTAAAATAATTATAATTGATAATTAAATGATAATTAAATTATATAATTATAATTAAAAGAAATTTTTTAACAGATATATATGCATATATAAATGTGTGCATATTTTAAGTATGCATTAAATAATGACGCTTTTCTTGTGGCATATATAAATGGAAAAATTAGTATTGCATGTCAACAATTTTCTATAAATATAATATAGGATTCTTTTATAATAATAAAGATGAAGTTTTTTACTTTCTATTATCAATGAAAAAAGTAGCAGCTATTGTATTTCAAAATTTATGGACTTTTTAGAAAAGATCTTATTAACACTTTTATAAAAGAGAAAAATTTTTATACATTTATGAACTTACATGTATTATTTTTAACTGCTACAAGAAATATATTTTAATATTTATTTATTTTTAAAATCTATATATAAGAAGATTACAAATATTAATAATCCTACCAAAATTGGAAAAAATATGAATATTCTTGTCACGTTGCTCAAATAGTTTTATCAATTAAGAATTGATTAAAATTGGATTGGTTAAAATTAAAAATATATGAGACAGTCACATTGAATCAATATTAATTTATTGAATAAATTTAACTACAAACTACAACGCTGCTCGACTCGCGAAACACTATAAAAATATAAAATATTTAAGATATATTTCCAAGACCGTGTTAAAAAGAAGATTATTTTCTTTATCCTTCACCTTTGTGACCTTCTGGTATCGCCGCCCAGGCGAAAATGTCATGTCGTTTTTCCTTAAAAAATGCAAGAACACGACTAGCGTGAGGCGACCAGCAATTGGTAACCACGGGAAGGGCTCTCGTATCTCCCGAGACTGGAAGTTAGCGACTTTGAATGTTCCACGAGGGCGAAACTTGTCGCAAGCTAAACGTTAAAGAGCGAACACCGCCACCGTTCGACTTGCCTTTCGAGTCCTTCTCTCCGGACGCGAGACGACGATTCGCCTTCCGCCTTTCATCCCCATCCCACGTGCCCCATCCTGCCCGAGAAACTCCCCCGGTCTGCGGAACCGTAATGGTTCTGCGACTTGACTCGCTGCTGCTCCTCCGTGATTCCTCCAAAGTTGGCGTTTATATGGTCCGAAATGGATAGACCATTCCTCTATAATCGTTGATCGATATTCAGCTCTCGCTCCTAATCCTTCCCGCGTCCTTTACCGTTCGAAGTACCGTCCTCAGAACCTGTCAACTACCTCCTTGCCCTCGTCGTTCTCTGTGCGTGTCCATTGGGGTGCGAAGCAGAGTCGCTCTTCGTTTCGGTTGTGCCACAATAGCTATGTAGACGCTCGCACACTAGTGAACTGTTTCCTCGCTTGCTACGAAATTGGTACGATATTTACGATGTTACATCCTATTCTCAACGCTTTACTGAGGAAAAGGAATATAGCTTAAAATTGAGCTGACGGAGATGAATCTTTTCCACCTGAATAAAACATTAATAAAAATCTTATAATAAATTTAGATTGTAGCCCATTGATTAAAACTTGATGAAAACTTCATCTTTTATACAAGATACTTGACGATAAGACACATATATCGTGTTAAAAAATAGGCACTATACTTTTCTAAGTTACTTGCATTTTAATGTTATTTCGAAGATTAGATAACGTTAAAATATATTTTATTCTCGATAAAGAACACATATAATGTCCTATATATAATAATACAGATAATAATAATGTCCTATACTAGGTGGCGACCTTCGGAGAAAGACATTCGACAAGTTCGTCACAGACGAAGGAAAAAAGCACAAGCGGATATCCAGAAATCGATGACGCGGACCGAGTCGCCCTTTAAGATTCTCGATCGCATCTTGAAGCCCGATTACATCCTTGTGATTCAATATCCGGACGAGAGCCGGCAACTCGTGATAACGACGCTCAGCATGTACAATCCGAAGTTTCGTAAGGATCAAGTTGAACCGTTCCCGGTTTCAAGGGACATCACAATTAGAAAGTACTATAGACCTGTAATCGAGAAGCCGGACTTCATCATGAAGCCAAAGATGCTCGTCGGAACCGTCGAAGGTGAGCGATCTCGTATAATATTCCCTTAGATATGGTCATTCGATTTTCTCTATCGCATTTATATCCAGAGACACGATTATATTCGAGTTCATTAATATTAATGCAATTTAAATCCCATTAATTAAACATACTATTGATTGCGCTCAAAATCCACCTAAGTAAGATCGATTTATTCAATAATATTAATAGCAGAAAACAGCATTTAAATACGAATTATAATAACAGGTGATTTCGGTTGCATAACATGGACCGGTTACGAATTCGCCACCGACGTGAGCGTGAATCGTGAAACGGCACAATGGCTCTGGATAAAGAGGATGCACGACGGACCGGTGACGCACACGGTTAGATCTAATTATTATCATCAAGTGGTGGTCACGATAGGCGGCAAGATCTTCGCCGTATGGAGGGATGATTTCGGTGAACCGCTCGTTTGGAAGAAGTCCAACGTCAGGTAAGCAGAGTAACTTGGCGGAGTAAAGCAAACTTCGGACACTTTTGCTTCCGCGTCAAAGTAAACTAACTCGGGCGCTAAGCGGTTTTCGTCGTGTATACGAAGAGGAAAGTGTGTTATTAGTAGACGAAATGCAAAAGAGAGAGATAGAGAAAGAATTCGATCACTGACAAATGAGATATCACCGAGAAATTATTTTCCGGAAGAGATAAGCGAAACCTTGTTATTAATATATATATATATAAATAAACGCTGCGCGTGACAAGTATTTTATTAACAATAAAAATAACAAGCAATCCCTCTTCTCCTCTTCTCTTCTTGCACGATAAATTGCAACAATATATACAGCGTATTATAATTGCGACATAGCGTTTCGTATTGCCCGGCACGAGCTCGTTCGCGTTTCACGTTCCGCGCATAGTTTTCGACGAATCGAACTTTCGATATGATCTGCATAGGACAATACGATCATAACTTACAACGCGCTCGCGTACCATTGCTAGTCTGTTAATGTAAACTATTTTCGATGGCTATGTATATATGATCCCAAGAGTCATTATCGAACTGATACTCTTGTAATTCAAACATTTATCTTTTCATCTAAAGCTTCAAAGTCTCATAAATCAGCTTTCCAATGCAATATAATTATTACAACAAAATAAAAGATATATAAAATAAAAGATATATAAAATAAAAGATATATATTTATTAATTACGCCGAAGAGTGCGACTGTCATCTCTATTGTCACTTTTTACAAAATATAGATATACAGCATGTTCTTGGGGAATTTTGCGTCCGACCGTTTTGATTCTGGGAAGAATGGATGGTACTATAGAAATCTGGGATTTGATAGTCAAGAGCCACGAGCCGAGTTTCGTGCAAAGTTTGTCCGGACGGATAATTACTGGCATTTACACGCACGAGCTGCCGCTCGAACCACAATGTATCGGGTTTTGCGATTTTAATGGTTCTCTAAGAATGTTTACAGCACCACGTGTCTTACTGACGTATGACGTGAGCGACGTCGAATGGATGAAAAAATTCATTGATCGACAGGTTCAAAGGGTAAGATCGTAAAACGGGAGCAGCAAGTGATATCAATCGATCTGAGCAAAGATATCTTTGAAAGATTTATCTTTCAAAAAGCAAATATAGATTTTATGGACAATAGAAGGAAAAATTGCATATATACACATTGCTTAAAAATGATATACTGACTTTAGTATAGTCGTACAAATTTTCAAATATAATTATGTTGTAGCAGATATTGTGAAATCAATTTTTTATTAATTGCAAGCTATGGATGTGTAAGTAATATTTTCTAATCCATTTGATATAACAATACGAGAACACAAAACATATTTAAATCTCCACGCGAAAAAATCATAAAACTTCACATTTTTGTAAAACAAAGATATATCCGATTTGAATGGAATTCATGATCGTAAAAAAAGATCTTTGTTCTGTTATTTTTTTTATAGTGATTCGCTGTAAACTCTACTGTCTCAACATTTGTAATAAAATTTCTTCTATATTCATAAACGATTTTCTATTTCTACGTACAATCAGATAAGCGAGTTTAAAGCCTGGCAGGAAACGTGGTGCGAAACAAATCCTGAGAATATCGAGATGAAGAAAAAACTGGGCGAGATGGCAGAGGTGAAAAAACGTATAGAGGCCGAGGAGCGGATTAAAGTCGACACGATCGAAGCAACGGTTGGCGCAACAACATCTACGAGGACCACAGTATGACTTGACATGCTACATGTCGATAAATAATTCAATGACTTTCGTCTTTTATTCACACATAACACGCTCCGGGCGGCAATCTGCGCTGAACATGAACACACAACCGAGACTCGATCGAACGTTTATAGTCGCGTGAATAATAGTATCCCCCGTGAATTCTCGGTGATATATATATTTAGTTGAACACATTTCGAGCGATAAAGGAAACTAATTTGTCTCTTTCTCTCTCTCCCTTATTCTATTAAATTAATTTTGTGCTATTCATAGCGCCGGAAACCCTGGCAGTTCCTTGAAGAAGCCAAGGAACGATGGATGTCAATGGAAGTAAAGCGCATGCAACGACTGATCCTGGAGAAAAAAGGGTTGAGGAAGGACGTTCTCGAGAGGCAGCGCGCGCCCGTTCTCAGATTGCGACAGGAGGAAAGGACAAAGAAGCGCAAGATACGGGAGATCCTGAATCTACAGGATAGGATCTTTGAGGAAGCTGTCGTATTCCTCTTCCCGGAGCAGCATCAGGAGCGCAGAGAAACTTTGCTGCCCCCTTTGCCAGTCTCCGCGACCGATAGACGCTTAACGATCGACGAGTTCATTAAGAAGGAAACCGCTTTTCGAAAAGAAGTACGTCAAGGAAATCAATTAATCTTGCGCAGATATCTCCTTCCCAAATAATTAATGCAAACTTCTACTACGTAAATACTTATTGCTAGTAAAAGCGCAAGCTCGAATTAAATAATATATAAAAATGGAAAGCGTGAATTATGTGTGATAAATCATCTGCATAGATAATTATACAATAATTTGGAAATTACATTACAAATTCCACTAATCAAAATAAGTCCCTCTATCTTTAAGGAGAATACATTGCTTATATATTTTATTTAGAGATAAAAACAAAAATTGCAAGGTAATTTAAACTGATCGATATTTCACCAAATTATTAATATTAATATTTTTTATATTTTTACATTATTATATTTTTACCAAGATGTTTTGTTCAAAGATCGTGTTACATGAAAATTTCGTATAATGCATAAAATATCGTATATTTAATTATAAATTAATGATGCGACATGACATTAGATACTAATTGTTCTTTCCGTTTAAAAGGACGTTTTTGCCGACCCGGAGGAAGAAATTATATACAATTTTCTGGAAGTACAAGCCGAGACTCTGGCCAAATTAAAGAGCACGCCTTTTGAACGCACATTCGACTGGCACAAAGTACTCGCGCGAGGAAAGTCGAGGAGAAGATCGATGGACATCGAACTCAAGAAGTTAAACAAGCTGAAGAAGACGGCAAAGTGGACGATGCTGTGAACGATGCATCACGACTTGCCTGCAATGAGATACACGACGTACGCATCAAAGGTAAATTCTCATTTTACATTTTGCACTTACATTCTTCCGTTTCTCAAATACAGATTTGCAATTTTTATGCTTACATATTTTTATAATATGGATATTTTCTCGTTACAAAAATGCAGTATAGAAGATGAGAAAAACGCAGTATAGAAGATGCATTTAATATATGAGGCACAGTAATTTCACAGTATTAGCTTGTTTTTTTTTAATTACGATCAAGTAAAAGTTTTAAAGTACAATGATAATTTTTTTTAGATAAAATTTAAACAACACTTATTATAGTTCATTATAATAACAGTATTTCACGAATTAATCCATAATATAACATATTTTAACAGATGATTACGACTATATTTCTTTGTTGATTCGTTGCTTTTTGAGTCTAAAATTACATTTACAATTTTCCATTTGCGATAATGCATGGTCTTAATATAACTATTGTCGTTAGAAAATCAAATGTGAGTGTACTTTTACGGTGCCATATATCTTTATTTAAAGATTTCTTTTAATCATAATTATGCTGTAACGTGCATCTTTGAAACACAAGTTCGCAAATATGTGTATAATTTTATCGAATGCTATAAAATTACCGTAACAAGGAAACGATATTATTCTGGTCAGTACTTTTATCGCGATATCTAAAGGGAACGATGAATATACAATTCGTACTTCCGGATGTCATAGCATCTATAATATGCATGTCATCGGGGTAATTGAATATGTCGATAAACAGAAGAAAAGCACGACAGCAAAGAAATGGAATGTCTCGAAGAAATAAAAGTAGAATATTTCTGTCAACGTCTTTCTCTCTCCACATGCTTTATATTAGATTGTTACACATGAAAATTTTTAGTTCGTGTGTCAACAATCTCTTAAAACAATTAAAAAAAACATTCTAAAAATGCATTTAATAATTTAAATAATTTTATTCACTCGCACGTTGTTCTCATTCCAATAACATACGCGCACATATGTTATACATTACATAAGTATTATTAGATCATTATCCAAACGCACACATGTGTTTGGATAATGATCTAATAATATTCATATATAGTAATTAAGCATAATATGATCTAAAACTTATATGTAATTACGTACGATTATTAATAATTACGTACAATTAGATAATTGTAGTAATTAGATATGGGGAGAAATTAGGCAGTTAAGAAAGACTAACGATCTTCGTTTCGACATAAGGAATGTCTGAGAGTAAGGGAGACGGAAGGATGGAAATTGGGGGATAGATAGGTAGATAGGTCGGCAGCACTCGGCGATTTTTCATAATTAAAGCGGATTAAAACTCGGCAGTGAGGCCGTAAATGAATTTGAAATTTCAAACTAGCTGCTCTCTCTCTCTCTTTCCACTTATCCGTGCTCTGCCTTTTCGTTGTCATTTCTTCTTGCCGTAAACGGATCTGTGCGAAGATCCGAGTTGCGCGCAACTTGTATATAGCGGGTTTACTTCTCCTCTATTTCCCCAGAGTAACACACTCTTCCCGATTTAATTTACTGCAATATCCACTCTTTGACGGCAACGGAATGATACTCTTTCACGGGTAGCATCCAAATACAGATTGAGATGCTTGAATACTACTTGGATATCGAGATCAAAGCGGATCGTACTAGAGATTCAAAAACAACATTTATAATTGTAAACCAAACAAACTTCAACGTTGCATAAAAGCTTACATCACTATTGTGCAAATAAAAAATTGGCTTACTCTAAAAAAAGCATATACGTATACAAAAATATTTACGAATAACAGCTACTAGGTAGTTTTTTTCGGTATTTTTGCAACTCTCTCTCTCTCTCTCTCTCGTATCTACGTAGTTTTTACAGAACTACTCATACCCAAAATACATAATTTTATAGCAAAACATCCTGTACAATTGAAACGCTATTAGAACAGAACGAATGTCTAAAAAGGGGATTTTAACAGAGATTTTTTAAAATATAGTTTTGTACAGTAAATATTATAATTATTCAAAACAGAGCTGCGCTTTGTTTCAATGTGCGCACTAGAAGTCGCTTCTTATATCGCAAATCTCTATAGCATATATAATAAATCGTGAGAAATACGTTCTTCAATAAAGCTTTAGCATCGCGATACAATTATGCTTCGTTTATCGAGAATTAATTATGATTATAGCAAATTATTTTCCGATATTTGTCGCGATCGTATTTCAAAAAATAATGTCGACAATATTCAGAGCACCTTGCATCCTTCATTACCTTCTCGTTCGGATCACGTTGCACGACAACAAGACAGCGTGTCTTAATAATAATATGTTGAGAAGAATAATAGCCAAATACCGCGCGTCAATTAGTTTATCACCGCGAAATATTCAACATTTGTAATATAAATTTGATTTCAATAATATTCGAATTCTCGTGTCTTCTTGCATTTCAAGTTAATTAATTGAACCAACATCGCATATAAACTCCAACGCGCGTGCATTCTCATTTGAAAGATATAATTTATATCTTAATTTAATTAAATAGTATAAATTAATTTAATATATTATCATTTAATATTATATTATTACAATGTTAAAATATAATTTGTATAATTCTACAATTGAAATATTATATTTATATTATTTTTCTTTTTTTTTTGTCAACAAAAATATAAATGCGATAATATAGAAAATATATAAAAAATATAGATACAATATAAAAATAAAACGAGAGTACCAAACTCCAAACCTCAATTCATTTTTTGTTAAAAAAATGTTTTCATTTTAAAAAAATGTTATTTATAAAATAAAATAAAACACAAGATATATTATAATATAATATTATTATTATATATTACAAAATTATTATATAGATAATATTATTCATGGCATATATATATATATATATATATATATTACATTATATAATAATGTAAAACAAATGATTATTGCGTTACACTTTTTGCTTTCATACGCTATTTCAACCCGCTATGACTCGTCTGATCAAAAATACAGCTGTTCTACTGAAAGCGCGCAACTCACGTGATTTGCGCGCTTATACGCGCATCTTCCATATGATTATACTTTTTATATGTTTAGTAATTTAAATATATGCACTGTTCGCTCGCGAGTTAATTTTTATCGAACAATGAGAAGAACGAAGAACGAAATGAAAACGAAATAAATGAATGCGAATCGAGAGAATAGGTTAATAAATAGAAACATTATTACCAAAATGTAAGAGAATCGAAAGAGTTGCCGGCGCGTTACAAGTTTTCGAAACTATCTGGAACTATCTTCTGCAACTGACTACCGCCTTATTGCCCAAGTTCGGAACATCCCCGGGGATGAGAAAGGAAGGGATACAGGTTCGTTTTTTGCGTGCAAGTGTTTCTCTATTTTTCTCGCTCTGCCGCCTTTTTGGAATTTGCTTTGTCCCGAACGATCAAAGTTTTCCTGGACCGGTCATGAACAGTATCCGCCGCACAGGACGATCGTTTCTCGCGACTTTTCTCCCGCGCTCTTTCTTTCGGAACATTCATCCAAGTGAGAATCATTGATGAATACTGAAAACACACATATATTCGCGTTCGCTGGTTCGCGTTACTTTACATCCGAATATACATTCACTCTCTGCGCGTTTGAACAATTAAAAATATGACATTCTATTGTACTCGAAAAGCAAGTTGTATAACGATGGAAAAATCAAAAAAAGAAGAGATAGCCGAATGATGGTTGATACAAAAGTTGTACATCCATTATAACACGATCAGCGCGCTGTATACAACTGAGATGATGAATTGGACAATGCATCATATCGCTCTCGGCTCGATTACGAATGAGTATACATATGCTCCATTTCTTTATATAACATGCTACTTGTCCAGTTACGTGTTTCCATTTATATGCACTGATCCATTTACTTATGGAGATATATTATTTTAGTCTTTTCGAGAGTTAAATTTATTTATAAATATACTATAAAATATACAGTATATATATATATATGGTTTTACAAAAGTCTTCTCTAAAAATTCTTTGCTAATAGGAGAAAAAATCATTAATTTTAAAGTTATTAAAGAATCCGCGGATAATTAAGGGTAGATATTCTGAGACAAATTTCGCATAATTATATTATAAAACGTATAATTTTTTAATTAAAAACTTCAACACTTTAGCATTAATTTTGAAAACCCAATTATTCGAATGATATATATTTCGCAATGAAGAAATTATTATTTTACTCTAACACGTGAATAAAAAAAATGAGAGATGCCATTTTAATCTTGATCCTTTTTTCGGACGTATGTGCGCTGCAATCGATTTTTGCTACACGTAACGTTTTATATTTCTGCTCGAAACGTGAAAATGCAAAAGAGTTTTTTTCAATATATATCTCGCCCGGTTTCAGAAATATCTCGGCCATTACGCTGTTTTCGCAAACGCGAAAATGCATAAGTCACTCGCTTTCGATCGCGCCTAAAAATAAGCGTGCAGGAAAAAAAAGGCATTTTCTTCCGTCGCGCCGTAATATCAACAGTATCGTACTGACAGCGCGACACTTTTAATTCTCTACCAATTAATCTCTCGCGAATACACGAATTAGTCCCTCGGCTCGGAACCACAGCTGTCTGTGGATTTGGAGAACGTGAGAGGAGGCTTTTCAGGGATACCGTCGCGTTCGTTGGTTCAACGCGAGTGATAACGAGGATCGTAAAATTGCTACGGTGAACGATGGACACATCGATTATTGACGCAGCTGGGATTTGCTTGATACCCAAAATCCGGTGTAAAAACTGTCGACCATTCTGTTCACTTCGCATCCAGCGAAGTAAATACTTCGCGGATCAATTTTTAACGACACTCGCCGCGAATCAGTAACGCGAGACGGTAACCTGTCATCAGGTTAAAAAAGAGCGTATCGTCGATCGCTCCACGAATTGTTTTGATTTTTTTCGATATTTTTTATTTTTATAAATTCCACGAGACAACGATTGAAATGTCCCGAAAAAAATGTAGAAACATTCTTCCGGAAGTACTCGCGTGTGATAAGCTACATTATTAATATCTATGAAAATCCTAAATATGTATCATTTCTTTCGTAATTAAAAAAAATTGATTATACCCTATCTATGGAATATTCGAAATTGTTCAAATTTGTTAGAC